TCTTCTCTGTCTTAAAACAAAAAAACCTTAACAAATAATACCATTAATGGTGAAGAAATTTCATCTACTTTTTCCTTCCATGGTTGAGCATGGTTTAATTATATCTTGGAGACTTGCTTAACCCTGGCTCTGCCATTTATTAGTTTTGTGACCTTGACAACTCATTTTACTGCTTATGCCTCAGTTTTCTCATCAGGAGAATTCAGAGGAATATGGTTTTCTTTTGATAGAGTTTGAGAGAATTAAATAAGTGTTCAGGGTTCAGAATCATGCCTGGTACATAGTAAGTACATAGTAAGCATTTGTTAGTATTTATTAGGGTGGGATTTATGAATTATAAAAAAAGACTTGGAGAACCTGTTTTTATTAAGGGCTAAAATTCTGTTTCTTCTGACATTTCTAACTTCCTTGTTCCCATTGTGTCTCTAACAGGGTAATAAGAAAGGCCCCTTAGGCCGCTGGGACTTTGATACCCAGGAGGAATACAGCGAGTATATGAACAACAAGGAGGCTTTGCCCAAGTGAGTTGGTATTAAATATGGCTAAGGAGTGAGAAGAGGGATGATGATGGGGTGGGCCAGCCTTCACCAGAACATGTTCTCTAGTCACAGGGCCATCTGGGAACACCTTGTTACTGCTGTGCAACCTCTGAGACCTTTCTCCCAAATGTCCTTTATTCTCAGAGCTGCATTCCAGTATGGTATCAAGATGTCTGAAGGGCGGAAGACCAGGCGCTTCAAGGAAACGAATGATAAGGCAGAGCTTGATCGCCAGTGGAAGAAGATTAGTGCAGTAAGTGAGATTGCCTCTCGGGGGCACTTCAGCTGAGAGGAGACACTGGCCCACAGATGCGGGTACAGGCAGGGGGCTGGAGAGCCAAGGAAGTAGGAGAGCTGTTAGCTTTGTGCCTCAGATGAGCTTAGGCTGACAGCATAACTATTGTGTGTTGACTGTTTTTTTTTATAGATCATTGAGAAGAGGAAGAAGATGGAGGCTGATGGGTGAGCAGCAGCATTCTTCTCTGGGGCACTGTAAGAATTGGTTGGAATACTGATCTTTGGCTGACTCATTTATCCTTCCATTGCAGAGTTGAAGTGAAAAGACCAAAATACTAATCCCTGGTTCCAGCTGCAAAAGGATTCCTCACAAGGAAGCGCTTGCCATTGTTTGCTTTCTGCAGTTCCCAAAAGAGTTGCAAGGTGTCTTTCTGTGAATGTATATAAAATGTTGTATGATCATTTAGTTCCATTAAAACTGGTCAGCATGAGGACACCTGGATTGCTCAGTCAGTTAAGTGTCTGACTCGTGATTTCAGCTCAGGTCATGATCTCACGGTTCGTGGGATCAAGCCCTGTGTCTGGGCTCCGCTCTGACAGTGTGGAGGCTGCTTAGAATTCTCTCTCTCCCTCACTCTCTGCAACCCCCTCCCCCCGTTCTCCTTCTCTCTCTCAAAATGAAGAAAATAAACTTAAAGAAAACCTTGTTAACCTGCTATCCTGTCTTCTCTGTGTTGAGCTTTCTCCCTTCAGGACCCCTGAAGCACCAAGAGGAATTCCACTGATTGTGTAAAATGCACATGCAGGAAGTTAGCTCAGTCGTGCTAGATTGCTGGACAATAAGGATCCTAGCCAGGACGCCTAATGGAGAAGGAAGTCCTTTCTCCACTCACTGATGGGCAAAGAAGAACATAAGGATGATTGGTCTCAAATAACAGACTCATTCAGGCCCATATGTGGCCTACTCTTAGGACAGAGATTCCCTGGGAATTTGGGTCTATCCAATGGGCTATAGTCTGATCCCATGGTTGTGCAGGACTAAGCTCTAGGTAAAGGTACCTGAGGAGAATCATGGGAATAAAAATGAATTTATGCTCTCCTGAGAGCTTTAGTAATTCTAAGTACAAATTGCTGATTCTCTGGCTACGGGGATAATCCTGGTAAGTGCCTTGAGGGATCCCTATGCTAGGCCAGCAGGGTTTGGTGCCCTTCAACACTCTGAAATGTTTGCCAATGCCCAAGGTGGGTCTCTGGCCTCTGAATTCTTCCATCCCCAACCTTTTCCTCCTCTCTGCTCATTGCTAGCACTTTGGTCTGGTATTCATAGGGTCATCATTTTTTTCTGGCTGGATCCCTAGCTGCCACTGCCTGCCCTGAGCCTAAGACCTAACCAAGAAAGCTAGAAGGCCCCCTTAACCTTTCTGTCTTGCTTTTGGTCACTTAAGGCTTGATAGGGCAAGATCAAGAGAAGGCCAGCTTTGCGCTTGGCACCTACAAGGATGAAATTGGGCCTTGTCTGTAATATATAGCACCTAGAATGCCTAATATCACACAGTAAATGACACCCTAGTTTCATGGTTGTAAGCAGTGGTTTCAGTTAAAGGGTCACAGAGACCTGGCTCAAATAAAGATACCTAGAAGTTCATTAAATTTAAGACCTGGGGGTTAGGGTGTGTGGCTGGCTCAGTTCTTAGAACATGTGACTCTTGATGTGCGGGTCATGAGTTCAAGCCTCATGGGCATAGAGCTTAATTAAAAAAAAAATCTGGGATTTGACTCAGTTTTAATTCATTTCTGGGGTGCCTGGGTAGCTCAGTCTGTTGAGTATCTGACTTCGGGTCAGGTCATGCATGAACCTGCAGTTCATTAAGTTCAAGCCTTATATTGGGATCGCTGCTGTCAGCATGGAGCCTGTCCCTCCCTCATTCGCATTCTCTCTTTCTCAAAAATAAATTTAAAACATTAATAAAACTAGTTTCTGACTCTTTCCATGCCAGCAGAGCTCTTGCAACCATGGTGAATCTTCCCAAAGCTGCCAGGCTTTGTGCAAGAAGTGTGGCAACCATCAATCCCACAAAGTGTATACAGTACAAGAAAGGCAAAGATTTTCTGTAAGCCCAGGGAAGCAGAATGGTTCTGGTGGGCAGACTATACTGATTTTCTGGAAAAAGACTAAAACTACAAAGACGATCTTGCTGAGGCTTGAATGTGTTGAGCCCAATTGCAGATCTAAGAAAATGCTGGCTATTAAGAAATGCAAGAATTTTGAACTGGGAGGAAATAAGAGGGTCAAGTGGTCCAATTCTAAGGTTTATATTTTGTTACATTATGAAGACAACAGCATCTTGAGGTTATGTTAAAAAAAAAAAAAAAAGTTTCTGCAGGGGACACCTGGCTGGTTGACTCAGTAGAACATGTGACCCTCGAACTCAGGGTTGTGAGCTCAAGCCCCATTCTGGCTGTAGAGCTTACTTTATTATTATTATTTTTTAATGTTTATTTATTTCTAGGAGAGAGAGAGAGATAGACAGCGTGAGCAGGGGAGGGTCAGAGAGAGAGGGAGTGACAGACTCCGAAACAGGCTCCAGGCTCTGAGCTGGCAGTCAGCACAGAGCCCGACGCGGGGCTCGAACCCACGAACCGCGAGATCATGACCTAAGCGAAAGTCGGACGCTTAACCGACTAAGCCACCCAGGCGCCCCCTGTAGAGCTTACTTTAAAAAAAATTTTTTTTGGGTGGGGGCAGCACCTGGGTGGCTCGGTTGGTTAAAAATCCAACTTCCACTCGGGTCATGATCTGGCAGTCTGTGGGTCATAACCTTGCCAGGTTTGTGCCCCAGTTGGGCTCTTGTGTTGACAGCTGGGAGCCTGGAGCCTGCTGAGTTCTGTGTCACTCACTCTCTGCCCTTCCCCTGCTCACACTTCTCTCTTTCAAAATAAATAAACATGGGGTGCCTGGGTGGCTGAGTCGGTTAAGCGTCCGACTTCGTCTCAGGTCATGATATTGGGGGTTGTGGGTTTGAGCCCTGCATCAGGTTCTGTGCTGACAGCTCAGAGCCTTGAGCCTGTTTCACATTCTGTATCTCCCTCTCTCTCTGCACCTCCCCCGCTTGCACTGTCTCTGTCTCAAAAATGAACATTAAAAAAATTTTTTTAATAAACATTTAAAAAAATTTTTTAATAAACATTAAAAAAACTTTTTAAAAAGTTTTCCAGTTAAAATCAGAATCTGCAAATATCACCAAGCCTTGTGGACATCACCAAGGTCCTCTGGTTGTCCATATGGTGAGTGACAAGGACCCCCAACACCACATGGCAACTTTCCCATACACACAGGACATACAGCTTCTCTGAGGTCCCTCACCTCACTTACACCTCTTATTAAGGGGGTTGGGCATCAGCATATAAGATATCTTAGAAGGCTTAGCATTACTTATGTGAGAGGCTTCTTTACAGTCACAGGAGCTTGTGCTCCTTATGTACCCCACCACATAGTGCTCCCATCTTTATGGAGCCTTTGGTAACCAGAATGTTCAGAATGTCAACTGTTGTGCCCATTTTCTTCCTTAGCAACTCCTTGCCAGCTCTGAGCACTGTTGGTCCGGCCCAATGAGGGTATGCAGCCAAACTGCAGGAACTGGCAGGATGCTGTTCCTTTGGCCCTAAAGACGTGAGCACAGAATGCAGCAGCTTAAGCGTGCCCTTGGGCGACCTGCTGTCCAAGACAACCACACATCAAATTCTCGCGGTGTGGGGCTTTCGCTGCCGGACTAACCTCGAGGCCGCCCTTGGGCTTTGCAAACCTACGAAGTGCTGGCGTCCCCTTCTGCTATCCCGAGGGCAGCAAATCATCCTTTATAGTTGCTGGAGGGAATACCCTACCTGTCAGCATCGATCAGAATGAGGGGAAAGGACTTAAAGGGAGTTCCCAACTTTATGTGATTTGACCAAGGAGAGCAATGACGATTGCGTCGTCGACCTGGCCCAAAAAGGGCCACGGGAAAACGGAGAAGTACAAGGAACACGGAGAAGCACAACTGGAGGACCAAGTCCCTGGGATCCACTCCACCCACAGTAGCGGCAGCCTGCCGGGACTTCCCGCGTCTCCGAACCACTTCCGGCTCCGCCCCCAAGGCGGAAACGGAATCTGGGCCACTCTTCCAGCCGTGTGGAAGGGTTTGGGGCTCACTGCTCCGCTGTGAGCCGCTCGGAATCTTCTGGTGCATGGACCGCACGTGTAAGGAGAGGTCTTCGGAGGATGGGATCGACGAGGAGGACCCGGACTCCACGGAAGCCGAGATCCGCATCCGGGACACTCCGGAAGACATCGTGCTGGAAGCGCCAGCCAGTGGGCTGGCGTTCCATCCCACTCGCGACCTCCTGGCGGCGGGGGACGTGGATGGGGACGTATTCGTGTAAGTGCTGGGCAGGGCTGGGGGCTGCCGGATCTGCAAGCTTCCCAGGGATGGAGGTGGGACAAGAGAAAGTCGCAGGACTCATCTTGGCCTAGTTGTTTGATAGCATTTGGTTTTAAACCAGTTACCACAGAAATCTCTTGAAAGAAGCGTAGAGTGTAAGAAAAGAGAGCGGCTCAATGTCCGGACGAAGCCCAGAGACAGTAGCGGGACGACAAAGCGTTCAGGACAGTGTTATTGTTCACTGGATTATTATATTGGGTCTGAAACAGGCTCTGTGTGGCCCCCCATTTGCTTCTTGCCTGCTTTAATGTTTCAAACACACAAACCCCGCCACCTCTCTTTCTTGATTATAACCCTTCAACGGTTTACCGTAGTTTTTAGGATTAAGTCCAAACTCCTTAATCTGGCTCTTAGGAGTCTTGACCACCTGGCCCTCTCTCACTTTCCCCTTTACTGTGTTTATTCATCTTCTTACCTTTTTAATGTATCTTAAATCCTCCTCTCCTTGCAGGTTATTCTTTCTGCCCGGAAAGCCCCTTTCGCCCTCACTTGTACCCAAAATTCCTGAGTTCTCAACGTTTCTGCACTTGCCCTCCATTCCCCAAACTACATTAGATTACCCATTAGACGCTGCTTTGTTGGCACCAGATAGCTTTCCCTCATAAACTTCCTAATGGCTTGTAATCATACATTCATTTGTGTAATTATTTGAATGCTTCTCTCCTCAGCTAAAAAAAACAAACATGTTTTTCAAACTTTTTTGGCCTCACCCCACAGGAAAAATATTTTTTAATATTATGTGTGATGTAGTCTGATATTTTCTGGTTTATTACATCGTTATTGCAGGCATACACATAGAATGCTGATTGAAGCTCATTAATGGGTCATGAGTGGAGTCTGAAAAACACTTGTGTAATCTGTAGTCTGTTACGTTATCCGTTATACCTCCTGCTTCTAGACCAGGGTGGGTGCTCAGTATGTTTTTGATTTTGAAGAAGAGAAGTAGGGCGGAAGCAGTGAAAAGTCACTGAAGGTTTTAGCCAGAAGGGTTGTGCTGCAGATTTACTTAATGAATTTAAACCTCAACCTCCTCATTAGCTTCAGTCACCTTGGGCAAGTTAACTTCCCTATATTCATCTTCAAAAATGTGAATAATAATAGAGACTTACCTCTGAGATATTGCAGGTTTGGCTCTAGACCTTTGCAATGAAATAAGTCATAGGAATTTTTGGGTTTCCCAATGAATGTAAGTTAAGTTTACATGACAGTATAGTCTATTAAATGTTCACTAGCATTATGTCTAAAAAACAATATACACACCTTAATTAACAAAATACTTTATTGCCAAAAAATGCTAACCATCATCTGAGTCAGTCATAATCACCGATCACATATCACCACAACAGATATCATAAAAAAGTTTGGAATTATGCAAGAATTACCAAAATGTGACACAGAGACACGGAGTAAGCAAATGCTATTGGAAAAATGGCACGGATAGACATACACACCATAGAGGGTTGCTGCAGACCTTCAGTTTGTAAAACATGCAGTATCTGTAAAGCACAGTGAAAGGAGGTATGCCTGTACCTACCATGCAGAGTGTCAGCTGTATACTACAGCACCTGAGTTCAACAAATGTGGGTTCTATTCTGCCATTCATAACTTACTTCATGCCAGACTCTTAGGAGTCCCCCTAGACCTTCACCTTTACTCACACCCCCAGTGCGTCAGGTTTTTCTCCTCTTCCCTACTCCCAGCCACTGCCTTTCTGCAGGCTTCTGACTTCTCCCGTGGCTATTCCAAAGAGGTTCCTTTTCCCATAGGATTCTGCTTGGCCTATGGTCTCAAGTCCAGTCCAACGCATTTTTCCAGATTCAGCCATTGCACTCTCCTGCCACTGGAACCCACCTCATTTCTTGTCTCTACCTAGAAGAGACATTGACATCTGCCTCCAGTATCTGCCACGTCAACTACTTAACTCTTCATGACCCAACTCACATCATAACCTTAGCTTTCCAGGGCTCTAGTCTCAAGCTAGGCACTGGGATAGAGCAAAAAATAAGCAGATACAGTTCTGCTCACCTGAAACTTGTTGGCAAGCATTTATCATTGGCCCTTTTTGAAGATCTGCTCTGAGGTAGGCACTGGGGATACAGTGTGGACAAGTATTTGCCTCAAAGCTGAGCTTCCGGGCTTGTGCTTCTCTGCTCCACCTCCATTTTGATCCTACCTTCTTTTCATCATGTGGCCATAGTGTGTTGTAATTAGTTGTGACCTGAGGTACAATAGCCCTGTCTTGTTGATTTTTACATTTCCAACTCCTGAGGCTGTTCTCACTTCAGTAAATATTTCATGCCCTTCATAGTGGTCCAGATCTAATGAGGTCAGCTTACAAAGAAATCCAGAGCAAACAGACTTTGAATTAATGTCTACTGAATGAAAGATGGACCATTTGAAGCTCACTGAAAGTGGAAAAATGGGATGGTGAGCTCCTTGGGTTTGGTGGTGTGTAACTGTGAGTTCCTAGGTAGGTGGATGGTTGACTAGTTAGTCTTTACGTTCCATGCTGCCAGGATCTGGGGTCATTCACTCTCCTGCCCCTCCTCCCAGCTTTTCCTACTCCTGCCAAGAGGGAGAAACGAAGGAGCTCTGGTCTTCAGGTCACCACCTCAAATCCTGTCGAGCCGTGGTCTTCTCTGAAGATGGGCAGAGTGAGTACTGGGGAAGGCAGCCAGCAATATGGTGGCAAGGGATCAGCGAGCAGCACCATGACCTGGGCACCTTTTTCCCCCAGAACTTGTTACTGTCTCCAAGGACAAAGCCATCCATGTTCTAGATGTGGAGCAGGGCCGACTGGAAAGACGCATTTCCAAGGCTCACAGGTAAGGGTAAGGGTAAGGGTCAAGGGTGAGTGTTGAGGTTATGGGTAAGGTGGTTAAGTCCCTATTGAAACAAAAATGGTTCAAGAAGCTCTGTATCTCTAGTGCCCCCATCAACAGTCTCCTACTGGTAGATGAGCATGTCCTGGCCACTGGGGATGACACAGGTGGTATCCGGCTCTGGGACCAGCGGAAGGAGGGCCCCTTAATGGATATGCGGCAGCATGAGGAGTATATTGCCGACATGGCTCTGGATCCAGCCAAGAAGCTGCTGCTGACAGCCAGGTACAGCCTCAAAGCTCCCTCCCCTTCCCTGTTAAATGTCTTTCTCACTGGGAGCTTTTGCCAAGCCTATTGCTCTACTCTTTCTACAGTGGTGATGGCTGCCTTGGTGTCTTCAACATCAGGCGACGCCGGTTTGAACTGCTCTCAGAGCCTCAGTCTGGAGACCTGACCTCAGTCACTCTCATGAAAGTACAGCTTGGTATGGGGGTTTGGGATTATGCTAGCAATCTGGTCTGAAGGAGCGCCACAGACATGTTTTTCTCCATTTCCCTACAGTATGGGAAGAAGGTGGCCTGTGGCTCCAGTGAAGGTACTATATATCTCTTCAACTGGAATGGCTTTGGGGCCACAAGTGATCGGTTTGCCCTAAGAGCTGAGTCTATTGACTGCATGGTTCCCGTCACTGAGAGCCTGCTGTGCACTGGTTCCACCGATGGGATCATCAGGTAAGAGAAACTAGACAGCCCTAAGATCACATAAAGGTCATGCCCAACCAGCCAGGACCCAACGCTTTTCTCTCTCTGCCCAGGGCTGTCAATATCCTTCCGAACCGAGTGGTGGGCACTGTGGGCCAGCATGCTGGAGAGCCTGTGGAGAAGCTGGCCCTCTCCCACTGTGGCTGCTTCCTGGCCAGCAGTGGCCATGACCAGCGACTTAAGTTCTGGAACATGGCCCAGCTGCGGACTGTGGTAGTGGATGACTACCGCCAGAGGAAGAAAAAGGGAGGGCCACTGCGGGCCCTAAGCAGCAAGGCTTGGAGCACAGATGACTTCTTTGCAGGACTGAGGGAGGAAGAAGACTCCACAGCTCAGAAGGAAGGGGAGGAGACTGAGGATGAAAGTGACTGAGGGGATGAGCTGAATCTCAAAATGGGTCCTCATTGGGGAAGTCTTGCTTCCTGGCCTGGATACCAGAGGGGCTATTTATAATACTTTTTTTTTTTTTTAAACATTTGTTTTTGACAGGGAGAAACAGAGTGTGAGTGGGGGAGGGGCAGAGAGAGAGGGAGACACAGAATCTGAAACAGGCTCCAGGCTCTGGCTGTCAGCACAGAGCCCCATGCGGGGCTTGAACTCACGGGCCCGCGAGATCTTGACCTGAGCTGAAGTCAAGAAGCTTAACCGACTGAGCCACCCAGGTGCCCCGCTATTTATAATACTCTTGTGCTGTGCACAAAGATGCATAGCTAGAGGCTCAGGACCAAGGGCACTGATGTGAGAAAGCACTTGCCCTGTGGCAGCTGCTCACTCTACCAGTGTAAGAAAAGCCCACGGCTGGGGCAAGACAGCACAGACACAGGTGTACACCAACCAGGGGTTTAATATAAATACAACCAGCATAGAAAACCCAAATTCACACATACACTATAACCAGAATGTAAAGTAGTGGGGACAAAAGGCAGATTTCGGACCCTCTGGCTCAGCCAGCCCCTAAATAAAACCAACAAAGATGACAAATCAACAAAGTAAGAAGTGAGATTCATACTAGGCTGTGGGAGGAGGATTTGTGTGTGTATCACACAGAATGGCCACGGAATACCATGGGGCCAAGGTTAGACCCTGAGCTGGGAGGGTGATGGCAAGGTCCCTCACCACAACTTAGCCTAACGAGAGCTGAGAGCTGTCCCAGGTGTGCCGGGGCCTTGCCCCGACTGGGAGGTTATGTCAGAGGTAGGGCAGAACCCATTCTTCTCCCCTTTGAGATCAGATGGTGGCTGCCCAGGCCTGCTGGGCTGGGGACTTAAATAGGCTCTGCCAACTCGTTCAGGCTGCCTGTGAAGAGGACAGGGTCACTGCTTAACCATGGTACCTGCTTCAGCCCCAGCAGACCGTAAAAGACTGGCTCTAGAGTCACTAAGTGCCTCTAGCAGCCTTGCAGACACAGCATTTTTAGCCACCTCATGCCCATTCTGCCCATCTGGGGCCAGCACGACCCAGATGAGGCCACTGAAGGGCACTGGATGCCCAGGGATCACCACCTGGTACCAGAAGCGGTGCCAGCCAGCAGGGCCTGTGCCCAAACACTTGGTGAGGAACACAGGGCTGCCCAGCTTCATCCTCTGGCACAACAGCTGCAGGGCAGCCCGTGCCCCTTGGAACTCTAGCTTGTCCCTGGCCACGGCCAACCGACCGCCCTCTGGCTGTAGGCACTGCAGGGAGGGGCCCACGAGCTGCTGGCGGAGTCGCTGCTTCAGATCTGGCTTGAGCCACTCCACGGCCACCTGTTCTCCACAGAGGCGTGATTGCCCTGCAGGAAAAAAGGCAGAGACAAGGGCACGTCTAACCCCTGGATTCCCGAGCCCCCAAGCCCTTTCGATGCAAGCCTGTTTAATTTCTAGCCTACCCATTTTCTGGTAGTGTGACCTTGAGCAACTTCTCCAGGCTTCATTGTGTTTCTTTGTAAAGAGGGTGTAGTAACTGCTATCTCCTAAGTTTCCTTCTTGGAGTACTGGTTGATGCAGGCTTTGTCTACCTCATAACCATCATAATAGCTAACCTTTGCTGTGACTACTTGCCAAGAATCAGGGAATGTGCTAAGTGCCACCTAATTCTCAAAACAGCCTGAGGAAGAAATTCTGTGGTAGATAAAAGGTAGACTCAGTAGGACTACCTTGGGTGAATCAATTTCTCTTACAACGGTCTCTTTTCATATCTAAAGAGGAAGATCAATCTGTTTCATTGGAATGCTGATTAAGTTGCAGAATAATGTCTGGGAAGCTTTAAAATTACTGTAGATGGTAGGTGGTAGGTAGTACCAACAGGAATTTAAAAATCTCAAATTAAATGGTATGAGCTCGAAAATTCAAAGATTCTTAGCCCTACGATCTCGCTTTTTACCCTCTACGCTGAGTGTAAAAGCGCATGGCATAATGTATTTGGCCCCAACCAGCGGCCTCCCGCAGCCTAGCTCCCATACCTTCCACTAGGGCTTTTTTGGCCATGGCGGCGGCGCGGTGCGAGTTGAACTTCAGCAGTGCAATTTGCGCGGGCGCAGGCCCAGGGCTGGGCATCAGCAGCGCCTCCTGCAGGCCGGGACCCAGGGGCTGCAGCGCGAGCAGCAACGCGCGGCGGCTCAGCCCCAGAGGCAGCCCGTCCACGCTCAGCTCGCACTTCTCGGTGCTGCGGCACACAAGCAACGGGCAGGAGGGCCGCAGCGGGTGGTTGTGCAGCGTGGCGATGGCGGCCTGGGCGCCGCGCCGCGAACTGTAGCGAGCGTAGGCGAAGCCACGGTTTAGCCCGCTGAAAGTCATCATCAGGCGGAACTCGTAGAGGCGGCCCACGCGCTGGAACAGTGGGATCAGCTGGTGCTCGTACACGTCCTGGGGCAGCCGCCCGATAAATACCTCTGACCCAGCCGGCGGCGGGCTGCCCACCCAGCCTGGGGGAAGGGGGTGGGAAAGGAGTATGGTCATCCAACCGGGTGGTTCCGGGTTCGAGCCCAGGAACCCAGCGCGAGAGGGCCTATAAGCAAACATCTGTGAAATGGGTGCAACACTTGCACCCCGAGTCGCCGGCATTAACTAACAAGGGGGCTGGCACGGAGCAGGGTCTACCTTACGACTGGCTCCCTCCCTCGATGGGGCGGGTGGGGAGAGAGCCACAGACCAGTTTTCTTAAATGCTTGGAAGGGGTGCAACGGGTTACAGGTTTCTGACTGCAGAGCCCCGGGACAGGCCCCTCCCCCAGAGGGGGTCGGCCGGGACCGTCGAGGTTGGTGGAGAGCTGGGACTACCGTACCTGGGGGTGGCCCGCCATACTTCCTCTGCCCGTTCACCTGCACCAGGCGGATGCCCGTCTCCCTGACCCAAGCTTCCAACGCTGCCTTGTTCTCCGGGTTCACCCTTTCACACCATAGCTAAAGGGGAAAGGGCAGGTTGGAACGGCGGATCGCCGCACTGGCCGCCACCTCGCTTGTGCCGCTGCAGCCCAAGGAGGCCCCCACGCCCAGCGCTACGGGGCTGGTCGACCCCGTCTTGCAAACGGCTTACCTCACACTCCCGCTTGGACTGCATGGCTCTCCTGTCTGCTGCTCCGTGCCCTCTTTATAACCTCCTCCCCGTCTGCCTCTGGAAGCTTCCCTACCTCTCCACCCCCCAAGCTCTCATTGGCTCTGAACACGACCCCGCCTCCCAAGGGGGTGGGGGTATCCACTGCACGTGCGCCGAGGGAACCTCCGACCGTCAGGTGAAAGCTAAGAAACTCAGCGGGTGGATGTGCTGGCAGCCTCACCTCCTAGGGCCTGGGTGTGCGCCTGAGGCACCCTTCACTTTGGGGAAGAGCTCGTGGCGCCTACTGGAAGTCCTTCTCCATTTTACAATGGTCACGAGTAGTCGAAATGGGAGGCCCAGGCTCCCACTGGGAAGGAAGGGCTAGGCAATAGTGACACAGACAGGCTCCAGTGGTTGAGTCATTTTATTGGACCTTTGACGATTGGTTGTGGAGTGCATTCCCTCCATCCGGTTAGGATCCTGCAGGGGAGACCATTTTAGGCTCAGTCCCTGTAGCCAGACTGGACTAAGCCCCCAGGGCCTCCTGTGAAAAATGGTTTAATATCTGACCATTTTTGCCTGTGATTACCAATAAAATAATCATAATAAAAAGTCTATGTTCTGACCACTGCTCAGGTCTTCTTGCTGGAACAGAAGTGTGCAAAGCTGCTGATGTACGGATGCAGAGTTCTGTCTTAGCTTCAAATAGTGCCAGTCCCACTTTCCCCTGACAGTGTGCTCAACTCAGCAGACGCAAAGGGGCTGGCTTGTTCTCCTTTTGATTTCTTCTACAAGGTCTTCTCTTCGGACGTCCACCTGGCCAGGATGAGGAAAGGTGGTATGAGCATCTTTGACTCCACTACTCCTGAGTGCTTACTCCTTCCTCTAGTCATCAGGCTTAGCTCAGCTGGATTATGAAGGGAGGCAAACACCTCAGGTGGACAGTGCTCCTTGGGGGAGCCAGAGACACAATATAGATGGAGATGGGACTCCTTCCCTACTATGACAATAGTAACAAGTCCATTCCAAGTAGGTACTAACGGGAATGCCAGAGTTCTGCTCAGGTCTTGAATGGGCATTGGGCTGCCAAAATGGCATACGTTCCCCTTCCCTCAGCCTTCCTGCCCACCTACCTCTTCCCTGCTGGCCACTGAACGGAGCTTGATGACCCCGTCCTTGAGCTCCTGTTCACCGATGATGGCCACCAGTGGGATGCCTGCCTCCTCACAGTACTGCAGCTGGTTCAGCAACTTTGGGTTCTTCTTGTAGAGCAGCTCTGCCTGCAGGGGACCAAGGCAGATGATGAGAACTGGCTTCTATTATCCTTAGTGACAACATCCTTGGGGCCCAAGTGCTGTTAGCTCTACTCCCAAGAAGTCACTACGGATGAGCTTTTACTTAGTCTGTGCCCAGCACTGTCACCCTGGGCTTGCCTCCTCTACCTTGATCCCAGCATCCCAGAGCTCCGAAACGAGTTTCAGTCTCTCCTCCAGCAGCCTCTTCTGTGCGGACGCCACAAGTACCTGTGTTTCTGTGGTCCGTACCTTTTCCTCCAAAGCCTGGGAAAGGGGCAGATAAGAGTCACAGAGCTGGGCCACCTTTTACACTTTTGAGGAACAAGTAGAACAGACTATTTGTTATCAGGATTCTGAGAGACCAAACCCAAATCTGGGAGCCCCACCAGCACAGGGGCCCAGTCTTCTCTAGCAATTGGGAATAAGGTAGCATAAAGATGTAAGAAAGGAATTGACTAGCTTGTACATATGACTTGCCAGAATAGATAATGTAGGGTAAGAGTAAAGGTAGTTTATGTACAGTAACTTCAAATTTGTCTCCTTTTAGTACCTTAAGGGCTCACAAGAACATTCACACAGAAGTGACACTGTGGGCTCACCTAGTTCTAGTTCTCACTTACTGTGTGCCCAGTCAAGAGACAATCCCTCTTATACTTTGGCCATAGGGCCCAACCCAGGGTGTGTGGTCAGGGTAAAGAGTGAATGCTGCAGATGCCCCTTGTATTTTCCTACAAAACTATTTTCATAGTTCTTACAACATCAGATGCCTAGCAGAACAGTGACCTCAGCTGGGAAACATGGGTGGTTTCCATTCCAGAGAAAAGGATAGGAGCAGTGGGAAGGTTACTGCCAGAGCATTCCTCAGGGAAATGTAAGCAGCCAGTTAAGAGTAGTAGCAAAGGAGTGCTTGAGGCCATGAGGGCCTTCCCTTGACTCTAGGGGCCAGAGAGTCAAGATAGCCATCTGGGGGGATCCCAAGGTCTCAGGCACATGCTTACTACTTGGAGTCAGTATCAGACTGATTAGGAACCAAGACTTTGGAGTCAGACTGCCTGGATTCAAACTGTGACTCTGCTACATAAAAGTTTCACAACCTTGGGCAAATTATGACCTATAATGCTTTAGTTTCCTTGACTAGAAAATGTAAATAATAAAAATGGCTACTCTCAGAGGGCTGTGTAAGAATTTTGCTAGATAATGCATGAAAAGCACTAAGCACAGTGCCCAGCACAGAGCAGTAAAATATTAAGTGTTCTGTATTCTGAAGAAGATCTGGATTTTTGGATATACCAGACATGACTCTTGACAGCCCTGAGGGAAGGAGGAACCCAGAGCAAAGGATTCTGTGAAGAAAGAATGATCAGAGATCCATAAAATTGGCCTCCAATGGGGTGGGAGTGTGTGAGGGATAGCAACCACCTTTCCTCCATTTCTTTGCAAAGATGCTCCTTGCCCCAAACAGTACCACCTGCCCCCTTCAAGATCAAAGAAAATAGCTCATGTGCCACTAGCTGCCCAGACCGCTTCTATCCACCTCCAGGTCTCACCTCTAGCCTCTGCTCCACAATGGAGAAGATCCGCTCCACCCCAATGCTGAGCCCCACACATGGCACCTTGCGTCCTTTAGGGTCAAACATGCCCACCAGCCCATCATAGCGTCCTCCAGCAGCCACACTGCCCACACCCAGGGGCTCCTCCCCTGGCTGGACTGGGGTTTGTAGCAGCACCGCCTCATAGATCACCCCAGTATAGTAGTCCAGCCCTCGAGCAAGGCTCAGGTCGAAGGAAATCTGTGGGGACAAGATCACGGTCAGTACCAGGTGAGGATCAAGGCTCTAAACCCCAGAGCTCAGCTAAGGTGTCCACCCCTAACCTGACTCACCTTGTCAGCAATTCCAAACAGTGTCAAGTATTCAAACAGCAGTTTCAGGTCTCCCAGGCCCTCTAAGGCCTGTTTGTTTTGGGACAGTTTAGGATCCTGGAGCAGCTGTTCCACCAGGGATACCCCACCTGGGGAGACATATTTGTAAGCCAGACTGATGGACAAGAGAAAAAAGGTAGAGGATCTTCCTTTTTTGCTTGAACTACACACACACACACACACACACACACACACACACACACACACACACACACACAGAAGACTTGAGGCCAGGTAGATGGCTTTCGGAGAGGCAGGGTTTGTGCCTCACCATGCTGCTGGACGTAGTCCCCAATGTGGTCAGCTACCTCGGGTGCGAGGCCCTTCTCTCCCACCATCTCATTCTTTACTTCCTCCCAGGATACCTAGACAGACAGAAACCAGTAAAGGAACCCCTAGGTGGCTTCTCCACTGCAGAATAAGTGTCGGCCCTCCTGAAGGGGTAGTTCTGCAGTAGAAGTTGCCTTTCAACCTATATTCTGGGGCTAATCTTCTGGTGAACAGAATGCAGGCCCCCCTCTCTCCTGATCTTGTTTTACATTTCTCAGAGCAGGGTGGGATCTGAGAAAAGAAGAGTGAAGTGTTTGGGTCATTACCTTGTCCAGCTTGTCCACTGAGGAGCAGATGGTACGGAACTTGCTATCAGGAACACCACAGATGGCAAACATCCCATCTAGGATGCGCCGATCATTCACCTGCAGGGACCCAAGGCATAGTGAGGAGAGAATCTCTTTATGTGACATGAACCTCAATAGTCTTGGTCACTTGGGCTACTAGTCTCTCTGCACAAGAATCTTCTGTGAGAGGCTAGACCCAATTCTGCCTTCCCAGACCCATTCAATTCTGACCTTGACCAGGAAGTCGCCTATCTGAAGTGAACTCAGGATCTCACACATGATCTTCAGGCACTCTGCATCAGGGATCATGGGATCAAATTGTCCAGCAATGTCAAAGTCCTGCAGGGAGAAAGGTAGCTATAGGTCCTCAGGGTTCAGAGGTTTAAACTTTTTTTTTTTTTTTTTTAGTTTTAAAATGTTTTTTTCCTTAAATTTTTAAAGTTTTTATTTATTATTGAGAGACAGAGAGAGACAGAGCATAAGCATGGGAGGGGCAGAGAGAGGGGGAAACACAGAATCCAAGGCAGGTTCCAGGCTCTGAGCTGTCAGCACAGAGCCCAAACTGGGGCTCAAACTCACAAACTGTGAGATCATGACTTGAGCCAAAGTTGGACACTTAACCGACTGAGCCACTCATGTGCTCCTAAATGTTTATTTTTTTAATGTTTATTTACTTTGGAGAGAGAGAGAGACAGAGTGTGAGTAGGGAAGGAGTGGAGAGAGAGGGAGACACAGCATCTGTAGCAGGCTCCAGGCTCCAAGCTATCAGCACAGAGCCCAACATAGGGCTCAAACTCACAAACTGTGAGATCATGACCTGAGCCGCAGTTGGACGCTCAACCAAATGAGCCACTCAGGTGTCCCAGAGGTTTAACCTTCTCAAGTGAAGGTTAAGAGAGGGACTCCTGGGAGCTGTGCTCTCCCTCTATGAAGGCCTGTTTGCACTCATGCACAGACCACTTTCTTCATTATGTATGATCAGCAGCCCAGAGGAAACTCTCAGCATTCTTGAGTCTCTTACCAGTCTGGTTTCCTTTCTGTCTCCCTTCATTATCTCACTCACTCACTTTGACTTATTTCCTCCTAACACCATGGGGGCAAATACATGGCCTTAGTCCTTAGTCATTTTCTCTATTTATTCAGAAGCTCTGCTACCACTCTGGATGATCTGGATGATATTTCGAATCTAATTTCTTCATCCTTCGCT